TGAACCTCATACAGTTGGTCTCAGCCCAACAGTTACCACTGGCCTCAGATTTCATTTAAAGTCTAGTAGAAGAGCAAACCTGGTCAGAACTATGCTATAAAGCAAACAGATGCACAGAATTGGTAATGGTTCTGGTTGTTACTTCTCTCTAAAACCATCTGGCGCCTGAATTGAGTAAATTGCAATAAAATAGCAGTACTTATGTGCTTTGCTGTTGCAAGAGACACTGGTTGTTTTTTTTACCCGTAGAAACCTGGCTGATTTGACCTAAACAGGTTTTACAGCAGTTTTCAAAGGGCTTGTCTAGACATGCATGTTTTACTGCAATAGTTGTGCTGGCATAGCTGAAACACCACAGCATTCAATGCACTGATGTAAAGTAGTTTCTGCTAGTTCAAATTATACCTAAAAGGAAACATTTGAAGTTGGGGGTGGTGATGGTGTTTTGTGTTAAGACAATGAGGGACAAATTAAAAACATAGGTATCATCTCTTTAAATCGTCAAGTTTTAATTGCTGTATTTTCACACACCTAACCTGCACTTCATCTTACCAGTTCTTTACAAGTACCGATACTTGGGGGAAAATACCAACTCCAATCAACCGAGTAAAATCACAGGCAGAAGTAGGAGAGGTACTCAAGTAGAGGGAGCAGACTATGATAAATGAGTGAAGGCAGAGGGGAAAAAAAGCTGTAGAGAGCAGAGTCAGAGGAGGCTCTGAAATAAACTTTCCCTAATGTTATCTGTGTCTGTCTAGCTGGTACGATTGAATTTCTTGGAAGATTTTTGCTGGTTACTGAATTGCAGAGCTATAACTCACCCATTATTGTAACTGGCAAAGTACTAAAAATTTGAATCTTGTCGGGCACATTTGATATTCTCAAAGTTGCGTTGTATTCTGGGACAATACAGTATAGTTTCGATAAAAGATAGAGAGGTTAAATCCCTACTTTAATGCAAAATGGTGGAGAGGTGTTTAACAAGTTTATAGTGCTGCACTGGAAAACGTGCAGCCCAGAGACACTGCAAAGGTTCCTTCTGGGCTGGTCTCGGAAATCTGTGCAGAAATCTTTCTGGGACCTTCTGTTCATTTCAGTTGTTCTCTTCAGATAGGTTTTGACTAAACACAAGCTTCAGCTTACTAGTACACTAATACACTTTACCTGTACACTTCCAGTCTGTACTGTCTTAAGGAGAAAAGCTGGTACATCCAGTAGCTTTCTTAGCATGTTTTTGTTGAGGTGCATCACGCCACTTTGAACCCCGGTTTTTGTTTCCCCTTTCAGCCTGCCTTCTTTCCTCTAGCTCTGTCACTTAGCACACCTTCTGATAACAGTCTGCTATTGAATGGCAAGAACTCCATAAAGTGATGATGTGTGTTGTACTTTTACATACACATATACAGAGGAAAAAAAACTGTTTATGGATAATTTTTTACATGATTACCTGTGAAGTTTATTGCAACTTTGTCCATTGTCTGGTACTGACTGTTGAGAGTGCCATTAAGCTGGCCTGACTGGACCAGTAGTTTGAACCAGTCTGACAACTTCCATGTTCATAGCAAAAATTCAGTGGAGGGACAACAGAGGTTGGCAGGTCATTATTAACCTCCTCTTGATTATTGTAAGTTAGGACTTAAAGCTCACCTACACAGAATGCTGTGAGATAACCCTCACTTGAGATAGGCACTGTGCTGACTTTGCGATAAAGTTATTAATCATTCATGAACAGTGAATAGGCATTATTTTGTAAGTAAGTGTACCTTCAATACCAAGGCACTACTAGTATCAAAACATTTGAAATATATATTTACATAAGGCTAAATAAACAAGGCAAACTTAGAATACATATGCCAGCTTGTTTGAATTATACTTTCCAAAGAGAAAATCTTTGTTTTGAACCTTGAGGATTATGAAGAAATGTCACCTGAATTTTTATAGAATTTCTATATATTGACATTCATCATGAACTTGAATGTTTTGTGTATAAGACTATTCAATGCTTCTACCAAGTAATTGCACAGAAATTATGATACCATGACACACCCAAAACTTGCCCTCGTATTCATGAACTATGTGATTTGGCAGCAAATGTTTTTCTTGTAACATTCTTTTCTGGTCGCAAGTATCATCTTTTTTCCCTATGAAGTATTATGCAGAAGCTCTGCAGCTACTGTTATAATTGCATTGTTTGCAATTTTGGTGAGTTCTAGGCACTACTGATGGCTTTTAGGCTCATCATCCCGTTTTAAAAAGTGATGGTTACTGGCCCATGATGTTTACTGATTTGCCTTTGATTTTTCCACTGGCACTTCTCATGTGGTGGCATTTATAAAATGACACTTGTAAAAAAAAAAAAAAAATCTAGCTTGAGTTATCCGTCTTTCTAAGAAGTGACAATAGTAGGTTTAGAAGCCCAACTGAGGACAATATTTACATATGCAGCGTTCACACTGTTTTAAGTATTGATTGGACCCAAGCCCCATCTGGTATAAGCTTGCACAAGGTTTTCAGCTTCATTTAGCTGTTCTAGCTTATGGCAACTGTGAATCTGGCCCTTAATATTCTAGCTGACGTCTGCAAAACCTGAAATTATATAGATGCTCCCATCAAAACTGAGAATTTTTAGTCTAAGTAAAAATATGTTAGAATTAACAGTAATGCAGTAAGTATATTTTTCTCGTTCTTGGTGTCGGTAACGTTTTACCTCACTTGAGCTGTTTCAAAGTTAGGTGTACGGCTTAAGCCTTCACTTATAGTTAACAGAGATACATAGGCATTTCCGGACAATAGTTTTTCTCCTCCTCGAACAGATATCTAAGATGTGTAAGATTAAAAAACTCTGAAAATACTTGTCTCTCCTCATTGTTGAAGGAACATAGAAAAATTATTTTTAGAAATTAGTTTTCTTAGAATTTTCTAGAACATAGGATTTTTTTGAAAACTTTAAAAATTAGTTAATCTTGGACAAGATGAATCCCACCCCTCTTTGCCATCTGTCTTTAACTCTGTTGTCCCTGGTGCTGATTTTCCATCTGATTTCCCTGGCAAGAAATAATTGCTTTCAACAAAGTGGTTGCTGGTAGTACAAAATTCTGGTATTAATTGTGAGTGCATAGGTCCAGATTCTGCTTTCATGATGGTGGTGTAAGTTTGTGGTGACTGCTGTCATTCACAGTTAGTGTGGTGTATGTAGCTAAGAACAGCATGTGGCTTTTTACCTCCAGCTTGGGTTAAGCCTGTCCGGACTGTTACACCACAGTAGGTACTTCGTTTCTCTGGCAGGTTTGAAAGCAGACCGTAAGTCTCTGACTTTTTGTAGTTACAAAGAAAAGCTTCTGACTGTGATCCAGTGCAGCATGGTCTACCTTGAATTTGCACATATGGGTTTAAGCAAACAGCCTTCCTTATCGCCTTGGGCCATTAGCTCTAAAGTCTATTAATAATATACATGTCAGTACAGCTAAAGAGTTCAGCAAGATAATGCAGCAAGACGTGTGGATAGAGTCTGAGATTCTAGGTAGCACAGAGTCCAGGCAGAAATGAAATATATTTTTGTTCCACCGATTCCCTGCCTTTTATTGTTTGTGCTGCTGCACCCTATAAGCTTTCAAAGGATATGTTTGGCAAAATAGGTGCAATTTGCCTTTGAATGTTTCCTCAACAGGATTCAGATATCTTTGATAGCATTTACTGTTGCAGAAGGGTTTTTCTTTTTTTTTAATCTGAGATGCCCATCATTGTCTGTTGAAAAGCAGGGCGTTGGCTTTAAATGCTGAGGTTTTCTTTTCATATGCAGCTGTTCTGTACCAAACCATTGACAGCAGAATTGCTTTGGAAAGCTTGGGCCCCTCCCTCTGAGATCACTATATTATTCTTTCCATTGTCCTGCTTTCTTTTCAGAACATATTTAGGGAGACAAGCTTTGCATGTTTCTTATTCAAAGGACTTTGAAGTCGCATTCAACAAAAATAATGTATTTAAAAACATAAATATTTATTTACAGAGTAATTCAGTTCATTACAGAATTGGTAGTCTTTAATGATTGGCAGTCCTTAAAGGACTCTTCAGCGGGGGCGGGCTGAGCCTGTAAATCAAGGAACAACTGACTTATTGAATTTAATACCTGAGTGATTAATAATAAATTTTAATTTGAAGGCACCCATGCCTGAAGGTCTCTAGGTGTTGTAAGAGAGATTAAAAAAAGAGAGAATCAAAGAAAGAAACTGCAATAAAAGAAGACAACTTGCATGTCTGAAGAAAAATGAGGGTATTTTGAACTTACATAAATGAACCTCCTCACCTAACTGTAAAACAAACTATGAGAATGAAAAGGATCATAGACATGCTTTGAGATACAGCCATGCTTCTGCACATATAGCTTTGCTTAGACCATTCTACTGGCAGCTTTAAGTGCAAAAGAATCTGTCACCCACCTTCTTTACTCACTTCTGATAAAGTTTTCCTTAGACACAGTATTGCCTTTTGGCGTTTTGGTGACAAGCTGATTCTGGTTTTCATGATGGTTAGGGGACCTAACTTGAAGTGTCACAGGTAAATGGAGCAAACCTGCTTCTCTGAAATCTAAAGAACACGCATAATTTTCATAGCTGTGTGAAATATTCTGTGTTCCCAGCTGATGGGAAAATTACAATTTTTGTGGCATTTTTGGCGTATGAACTCAGTAATCACATTGATGCTTTTCTCTTTGAAGCGCTACTGGAATATTTTAGGAAAACGCAACTATCAGCCTCAACGTATGTCACCATCTCCACTGTGACTAGTACAGGGCTTCTTTGGAGTTCATAGAAAACATCAAAATAAGATCGGGGAAAGGCCATACATGACTTTTCCCAAAGAAATATATACTGCATTTGTTGTGCAGTGTAACATTCAGTAGTCCATCCATCTTTTTGATTATCTTCTGAAGTCTTTGGATGTTTGAAAATGTCAGCAATGCATACATTTCTAGTGGGGATTTTTTGGAAAGCAAATTGAAATACTTACGTGGAATGTAGAAAAGCAAGGAATTGTTTTACATACTTTATTGCTAAAGTTAATGTAAAAAACACAATATCTTCTCTTTAGGACAGAATGTCATTGTCATAGTCCCAGGAGCCAACCTGCTTTTAAATTTTGAAGACCTGAAGAGGGCTTCTGATGTCATCCAGAAAGCCAAAGTGGTTGTTTGCCAGCTAGAAATAACCCCGACTGTTTCTCTTGAAGCTCTGAAAATGGCACGTGCCAGTGGAGGTAATTTAACATAAGCCATTCTGTCTCCCTCATTTGTATTGCATGAAAAATATTCTTCATCATGCTTTCTAAGTAAAGATCCTGTGGTCTATTCTGGTTTCTATCATACTAGTTTTATTTAGAAATGAAACAATAGTCAACAAATTCATGCTATGCTAATGAAAACTGAATTCAGTTTTAAAATTTTGCAGTGTTTACCTTGAACAGCAAATCAACCCATACCCGTTGGTTGATATATATAATCTCCCCGTATACATCAGGTGCTGCCTTTCCTCCTATTTTCATGCTGTGACTAAAGACAGTATAATGTTGTTAGGTCAGGAGCTGTGGGCCTGACTCTGGTATTATTCCAGAGCAGAACAAGCATAATGAATGCAAGCCAGTAAAGTTCCACACACAATAAAGTGAATGAAATGACCTCAAAACCAGACTTATGCCCTTGTTCCCCAGCATAGCAGTAGGTATGACTGTGGTTTTCTATATAGAAGTTAACATCCTTAAAGTAAAAAAAAAGAAAATGCTTTTTCTTCTTAACCAAAATTCTTAAGAGCATGACTTGGCATGCTGCTATTGAATAGACAGAGTCATGCTCTGTGAAATTATTAGTAAATTGTCACTGTGCTGTACTTTCAAATATAGGCCATTGTTCCTTCAGTATAGCATATACGTAGATAAAAGCTGACATTTTGCTTGAACAGGATGAGATTTCACTAACGACATGATGTTTTTGTTGTTTAAGTGTCTGTAATGCTTTCAGTTACTCAAGCACAATTACCACAGTATTTGAAGAGTAAGTAAATAATTATGCAAGTGAGGCATCTATATGAGATTAAAAATATGTTGTTCACGTCTATCCAGAAGATAAGACTGGGAGGGGACAGCTCATAGTATCATCAATCACATAGCAGGTCAGGGATGGAACTGGGATCAGAAGTAACTGGTTCCTTGCAGCTGGGCCCAGGCTTGCTCCAGTAGATCATAGCACATTGAGATTGTTGACTCTTCAGTCCTCCTGCACCAAGATCTGTTGTGCACATGTTGTGATCACTAGTGTTCACGCACAAGTGAAGATGTCAGATGTAGCAGAACTTCATGCGTTGTGTTAATGTATTTTGTGCTGATTTAAGCAGCTATGTCAGATGCAAGGCTGGGAGAGTGGCTCTGAAACTGTGGTGGTAATAGTCATAAACTCTATAAACAGAACTGTGCATGGGGAAAAATTATTTAGACTTCTGTTTGAAATGTCAAAACTGGGTTCATGCAAATCTAAACAAAAATTAAAAACTTTAGAAAACTGAGTAGCACCTGGAATGCCTAAACATGTGGGAGGGGGAGGTAGAAACAGAGCTTACTATATTTTTTCATTATGTTTTATGAAAATGGTTAAAAGCATTCTTAATCTAGTGGTCAATGGACTATAGTTGAGTCATGAGTCAATCTCCATGACTTACTTTGTCTACTTCTAAGTCTATGCATAGTTTTGGTAAGATGCTTCACACTTTTGTCACCCTTGTACGGCAAGATGCTAGCCTGTGACAGAAGAAAAGAGAGGATTTTTTTAAAGGCAGTTAAGAAAAATCCAAACCTGATACATGGAACAGACATGCAAGCCTTTAGCAACTGTAGACAGCACAGTATAACCAGACAACTTAGTAGTTAGCTGTGGGCCAGCTATAGTTTTGTGCTGTCAATCTGCTATCTTTGTGCAGTGCTCGTATCAGGAAAGCTCTGGTTACTTCTTCTTTAAAGCAAGAGGCTACACATGTTCAAATGTCATATGCAGTCAAATCTAAGTAAACAGCTGAGTTTGTAGCGCTATAAAAATCTATCCTTAGCCAACTGTAAATTGTTAATGCAATTTCCCTTCTTTTAGCCTGCAATACCCTCATGTATAATGCAGTACTGCATGTTAGGATGTGCACTAGACTATTTTTGTTTAAAACAGATGCATACCCAGATGCCTCAAACCTCTGTTTCAAGGGGTTTTTTGCTTGTTTTTCTTCATTCTTACTGAAAGAAATAAGCAGTAAGATGGAGAAAGAATGTGGACACACAGGCAAGACCTCTTTGCTTCTGTTCAGTGAACATCACCTAGATCTGTAAGCTAGAGAGGGACATCTCATGTTCTGACTTCCTCTCATTGTGGCACTGATTATTAAAGAACTTGTGACAATCTTGGGGAAAAGGGAGGAAGGAAGGAATGGAAGGGAGGGAGGGCTGGTTGTGAATAATTATATGAAGTGGGTATAAATTGTAGTGGAGATCTGACTGGAAAATTCTAGGGTTTAATGACCACGTGTTGTGAAGCTGCTGCTGCTTCCCAGAGGGAGACCACTTCATTGATGAGCGAAATGTTGTATATCAAAGTCTGAAAAGCAGTTTTGGGCCTTGTCTAATGACACAGTTTGTAAAAGATGGCTGATAATGCCCAGCCTATTAATACTGTAGTGAAGAATGGGCTGGAAGCAGCCTCAGTTATTAAGCTTCCATGTCACTTGCAAGTAAAGGATCTATTTTTCAGGTGCTTCAACTTTTTAATCTTGGGCTGCAATTTTTCATATCAGGTGTTTGTCTGTGGTTAAACTCTTTGTAATTTCTACCAAAGCATAGTGGCAGCAGAAACCAGGCAATGGAAAATGCCTCCCACCTTACCCACTTTCAAATTAGGAATACTGGCTACCCTAAAATTTAGTTAAGACTTGATAGCAAGGGAGCTTTCTTTTAAAGATAAGCCTTTACAACACTGTGGAAAGCTGCCTGACTTTTACTGCATTATCTGCCTTTGGAAAATACCTACCTTTCACATAGGCTTGAGAAAATTGTTATGAGCTTCACACCTAGCTTCACCTGAGAGTCTGTCCATACAGGCAGTTGTCCATTTGGACAGCATGACTTTCAGTGTAATTCCTGAATCTGGTTTTAGGCAACTTCTTTTATACTGTTAAGAATCTCTTGTAGGCCCAGGAAGTGCAGAGCTGGAGCTTGCCTGATTTGAATACAGAACGAGACAAAGCTGGACAGGAATGCTGGGGAGGGAGAGTAGATTTCAGACAAGGGAAGTGTAGGAGGGATTTGCTTAATTTTGGGGGTGGCAGAGGAAGAAGGAAGAGAGAAACTGAAAGGGGGACAAAATTGGAACAGGATAGGATTTGTTAACAGAGACTGCAGTATAGATGTAGAGTCAGGGGGTAGGCTGTGAGTACTGGAATTGGGAAAAATAAAGCAAAGGAGAGGGGGCGTAAAGAAATATGATGTGATGAAACTGAAGTGAAAAAGATTACTATTGCATAGCGCCTATGCAAGGAGGTATAAAGAATGGAAACTAGGTGAGAAGAATGGTTCTTGGCAAAGTGAGAGAAAAAATTGGGGCAAAAGATAATTTGGTGTTTCTTAGGGGGACCAAACAGACTACCCTTGTTCACAAGCCATGCTCTTCTTCACAGCCTGAACGGAATCCAAGGCTTCCTCTATCTCCCCTCTGCTCAGCAGATATTAAATATGGGAGCAAACTAACAGTAATGTATTACACGCTGTTCACGATGAGTCTGTATTACTTAAAACCCAAGCTAGAACGCTTCCAGCATTGCTCCTGACCCATGTATATGTCGGTATGATACCACATGACAGAGTTTGTTTTCCAATATGTGCTCTTTGTTTGTTTTACCTAGGAAAGTATACTTTAAAGATTTGTGTTTAAAAAAACGATTAGGGTTGCAATTCAGAAAATAGGAAATGCAAGAGTTAAGGTTGCCTGTGAAACCTTAATTTGTCTCCTTTCTGCATATGTATTATGTTGCAGTCTTTAATTATGTGATCACATGCTGTTTTCAGTGGTATATGATCATATAATTAAAGAGCTTATAATACATACTGTATTGTAATAACATAAGGAAGCCAAATTAAGATTTCATTGGAAATCCTAATCCTGGCATTTTCTGCCTTCTGAGTAAATGTCTTTGTCACTTTAATACTCTTTTTAACGAGGCAGGTAGAGAGGCATGATAAAGTTGTACAGTCAAAGGCTAAAACTTTCAGTGTGTTAATAAAAAGGACATCTTCTAAACTTCTCGGTACTCAGATTTCAGAAGTGTCTGTGCATCTTTTAGGGCATTAACTGGGATTCAGAAGTGTTTAGTCTGTCTGAATATTATGTGCTAAAGCTTAGGGTCTAAATATGTGTTTAGGACTGAAAATTTAGGCATCCAAGTTGGAAGATTTGATCACTTACTATAAGGAATATTTGTAAAGTAAGAGAGTATGCTTTATATGAAAATGATGATGGTCTTGTGGTTAAGACGCAGAAGTATTAATCATAAAATTGGCAAAGTGAGAAACCAAGTCTGCAGACTTCCTGTGTTAACAGTGAGTAAGTCACTTATACTGTCCTCGTGACAAACCTTTTCTGCTGTTACACGGGGCCTTAGGCTACAGTTTAAAGTTAGGTTAACTAACATATTCTACCACGTGTTAAGTTTAGGTCTAGCTCTGCCAGATAGCATATTAAAAATATACGATGCCTTGTCTACACTACAGTTTTATAATGTGGCAGTTTGAACAAGTTAGGTAACACATTCAGAAGCATGTTTAAGTCCTTGTCTGGGCATGCCCTTCATTACTCCATACCCCTGTTTCTTCATGTACAGAACACAGATAACAACACTGAAAAAATTCTAGAACTAAATCAGTTCTTGTAAAACTTATTAAAAGCCTGGAAGAAGCGTCATCAGTTAAACAAATTGCATTACTGTCTAAGGCTTTATCCCTTTTTTTTTTAAATTTAATAATTCCTTGATTATTTTTTCTGTTACTCTTCTGTCATGTTCCCATCATAACAGGTGCCTGCACATGAATTAGAAAGGAACTTTAATATAATAAATGAAACTTTTAGCAGTTCTGTAAAACGGGGACACAGAAACTGAGAGCCATTTGTGTGTTAATAATAAACATTGGGGGCAGTGAATTAACCACAATAGTATTTCAGGTGATGGTTTATGAATCTAGAACACTGGAGATTTAGACTTTTCTTTTGTTTTTTTTTTTCAGTAAAGACTTTATTTAATCCAGCTCCAGCCCTTGCTGACCTAGATCCACAATTTTATACCCATTCTGATATCTTCTGCTGCAATGAAACTGAGGTAATGGTCTTATATCATGTTAAAGAAGGAGTCTTAAGCAGTAGAGTTTCAGAGGGATTCTCTTCTCAGAAATGCAACATAGGGAGCAGAAAAACTGAGGTGACAAGTGTGATCCCTGAGCTAACAAGCAAAGAGGAGTATTGTAAAATACCTTTAGATTACACTCAAAATTGAATTAATTGTTTGCAGAAGGAAAGTTGTGTCCAGCCTTCCTTACAAGTAGATGAGTAAAACAAATCCATAAAAGGACACTTTTAAAATGTTTTCACTGAGTGATAAGTGTTAAAACAGATCATTGTTCTTGTACTGCGGTCCCTTGATATGTTTAGGAGGAATGCGATAGCCATAGTGTTCTGACAGTTTTAAACTTGCTTGCCAGGAGGTGATGCACACATGCTGCACTTGATGGTAAATAGTAGCTTCATATGCTTCTTCCTGTCAGATGTGTTTTCAGTGAATCTGTTTCTCTGGCACTTCAACTGTATGTTTTCCCCCTGGTTTTTTTTTTTTCCTCCTTTACCCTCTCTTTTCTAATTCAAGTGTGTTATTTCTCCCAAAGGAAATTATTTTTGTCACAAGAGACAAATTAAGCTTGTCTCATAAAGTCTTTGTTTAAATTTCCTATTTATTAGCATTATGCGTGCTGTGTTCCTTCCCCTCACCCTCTCTTTATATAAACAGGAATGTGGGAGAAGTAACCTAGTGGATAGAAGCCATGCTTTAATCATAGATAAAGTTATCTCCAGCAAACATGATTTCTGTAATGAACATGATACCTCTCAGTGGAGAGGAGGGGGAAGACTAAGAGGAAAGCATGGCCCTACTTACTTACAGGATTTTTTGTCTTATGACAATACGTATCAGAGTAAGTTCTTCAAAACTCAATTACATTCTTTTGAAATTTTTGTTAAAACCCGTCATAAACCATATCAGAAGTTCTCAGTTCATGAGTCTTCTAGCGTTTAAGAGTTGGCCTAAGTAACCCAAAGAGACATCTGAATTTTTTTCTGGGATGTTTCAGTATGTGTCTGCCAAGTTCAGCTACTCCAGAGCATTCAGCAATTAGCAAAATAGCAAGGTGGGAGATGCCACAGCTCCTCAGGTGCCTGGAAGGCGAAGTTTCCAGTGTAACTGTCAGTGATATCATTTGTGGCTCAGACACTGTCCAACAGCTGTCAGAACTCAATTATATGTGATGAAGAGAATGCTAAGGCAAAGTATTTATTCTTGTTCAGGGGACTTGCAGGACACCAATATGGTGTTTTCTTCATGCTTCCAGAAAGCACTTGTGCCTGGACTATGGCCCTGGATGGGCTAAACGGTGCACATTTTGGGCTGAGAACACCCATACTCTCCCACCAATTTAGTAAATGTCATTCGTTGTTTGCTTTTTTCATAATGTTGCTAGTTACTTTTTTTTTCCCTTGCAAAAACTTATCCCCCATATGTTAGAAACAAAACTTTGTTTTTCATTACTTGTCTCTTCCTGACTTTTTTCTCATTGCTCTTTGCAACACACATGTTAAAGTTTTCCCTTTGTTATACTTTATTGCTAGAGGACAGTCTTGAAAGAGACATTCTTTGAGAAGTTTAGCTTGCTGGAGCCAGGGTGTATTATTATTACCACCACATGGAGAAAAGAAAATTACTTCTATTTGGAGAACAAGAAATACAGGTGTATAATTATAATAGATCCCTGCTCACTCATTTACCTTTCCTGCAGAGCTGGGGCTACAGTTTGCATTCTTTTCTGCTATTTTCTTTTGAAAAGTAATTACCATTTGAAGATAGCTAGGATCATTGTATGCACAGCCAGGCACAGAAATATGCTCTCTACTATTGAGAAGGCTTGTCTCTCCTAAGTTTATGGAAATGGTAGACCAATGGAAGTTCCTGCCAGCCATATCATGGTAGCACAGATCCAAGTGTGGGACTCCTACAGCACATTCTGAGAACAAGAATGGCACATAAATACATATAAATTTTGCTTTAAAAATAACCTTTTCATACTTTGCAATGAAATCGATTACATTAGCGCAACTGTAATAATAATTATGTTTGATTTCATCCTCTCTGTGTGTCTGATTTGTTATTGAATTGATTTTCAGGGATGAACTATTGCCATTGTTCCTTTCTTTTTGCTGAGAAAAGAGGAAAAATGAAACATTTGTTTTTCTTATATCACAAGTTTGAAAGTTGGTTTTTTAGTAATTGTTATGTATTCATATGCCATCTGTTTTCTGTTTTCTTTCATGACTTACTTTAATTTCAGATCCCTGTAATGTATGCACTTGAGAAGTTTGATATAGAGATGAATGTTTACATACCCAAATAAAGGTTACCAGTCACGTCTCTTATGGGACTTAAAAGCAATAAGTTAATTCTACAAATCTTAAAGATAATTCTAATTTTTTAAACTTCGTCCATTCAGCCAACTACATCTGCATTTCCTTCATCTTCTTAAATCAGGAAGTACCTAAGACGTTGATGATCGAGACTATATACTGGGAAAAGATCTTTTTATACATTTTTTTTTTATTATTTCCCTCAGTATCTACTAGCAGTCACAGTCAGAAAAGAGCAATTGGATAAGATGGTCCTTTGCTCTGAGCCACTATGGTCATTCTTATTTAATGGATTTTTTTATTATTATTATTGTTATTCTCTATGACCGAATTTATTGAACGTGCTGCTTAAAACTGTCTTCCTGAGATGTTCTGTTCCAGCTCCATTGCCTCTCCTACTTAGTCTTTCTAAGTCTCAAATAACTTCCTTCTAACCAAAATCCTATTTATGTTCCAGCCTTACCCCTTTAGGGATCTTTTTTTTTTCTTTTTGGGGGATTTTTAGGTGCTACCAGAAAAAAAAAATGTATTTCTGCTTTATCATTACTAAGTCTTAAATAGTTAATAAATCATCTTGGTTTTAAAGATGAAGTCTTTAGAGCTATCCAGTTCAACTTCTTCTAAAACATTCTTTTTAACACAGGCTTATATGCTAAGGCAAGATTACATTTACACTGACTTTTTTTATTGCTCAGTTTGGCTTGCTTAGTCATTTAAATTTACGAGGATTTATCACACAATTTTACCAAAATGTCCTTTCTTGTTCACCAAGAAATACCTTGAAATTGTAAAATCCTGTGGTTTGTGGATATTATGTGAGTTATGTTTGTAACAGAAGATTATGTTAGCTGTAGAACAGAATGCTAGCCATTTAGCCTAAGACATCTCATACACTATGTGGAGTGTTTGTATTGTTAAAGATGAGAAAAAGGGGATGGTCCTTGTGGTTAGCTGAATTATTACTGAGTCAGAAGTTTCTGTTATTTGCTGCCAGGAAGGTCAGGATTTTTGATCTGCAATGACTTTGTCACAGAATAAAAGTTTTAAAATGTCAGCTATGGTTTCAGACAGCCATGGGATGTTGGGTCCCAAACATGCGAGTATCAAATAGAACATGACACTTTATACTCCATCCTTCATTAAATGCTTTAGGATTTAATGAAAGCACATGCAGTTATCTGGTATAACAGCACAGCTTGTTCTTATGGATTTATGTGCTAGCAAGAAGCAAACAAAATTATACTATCAGTGAATTATCTACCATTAGTTTGTCTAGAAGGCTCTTCACAAGCTGTTCTTTTCACTCTTGCTTGTTGCAATAATAAATTTTTTTTGTGTCTGACATTACTTTCTTTTTATGTGGTTCATGAACAAAAAAACTCAGAACAAATCTTGCAAGGTTATCAGTTCTTTCTTTGCTTAGCCTGTAGTTCAGTTTTATCTTTTCCCAGAAAGATCAAACTTGTTGAGACTAGTTTGTTAATTCCCAGATGTAGCAAAGCCTAATCCCTGAGGTTTGTGCAGGAATGTGCTGGTTCTCCATTCCCTTAATTCTTCTAATGAAAAATAAATGTATCCAATGTCATCTTAGTGAAAACCAATGGTTGTTCTTTTCAGCCATCTATAAATGTTGAAAAAGAGACAATCCTGTACAAGATACTTACCATTTTTTTCCCACATATTTGCGTGATTCCTTGCTGCAGTATGGCTCTAGGCACAACCACAATGTCAATACAGTTCATGTGTTGTTTTTCTTATTTAGTGTGTGCATGCAGTTACATAGCCCTGCAGGTTAGGAACCAAAATGTATTGCACATCAGCGATTTCAATTTGATCCTAAATGTTTTGAAGAACAGCTGCTTCTCCATTCAAAGAATACTGAGGAGCCCTTCAGGAGAAGGAAAACTCCTAAATGGTTACAGCAAATGATTTAGATCGTCAAGCTATTTTTAATGCAAACCTGGGAACTGCCTTCTCCCTAATGTAAAATGTGTATCAGACTTCTGATCTAAATAAGAAAGACCTAGCAAAGATTTAATTAAAATGCTAACAGAATACTTTGGGGCTTCACTGGTAGAAAGCAGTACAACTAAATATAAGTTAATTGCTAATTTTGTTAAATAAAGCTGCAAGATGTATAAAAATAATATGGAAGAATAGATACTATCCTATTGTTTCCTTTTAAGTGTTCTTCTGCGTTACTAGAGGCTAGATCATTTTTAGAAGAAATGTTAATGGAAATTCTTGTTAGTATGTGCAAAATCAAGAGATGGTATTGACTTTTACAAGATTCAGAGAATATCAACTTTATAAAACTGTATCTGGAATCTTGGATTAGGATATTTAAGGAACTGCTTATTAATATAGAGACATTAATACTAGGGATAGTCTTTCTTAAGAAAAAATAATTGATATCCCTAGTAGTCAAAACAAAAATAGGTCCTTTAGAATTAAAATATTTCAGAACATCTCTTGAATTTGCCTTTTCTTGCACAGAAGTTGCCAGCAATTCACAATATATTTTAATTCCAACTTTGCTCAAAACTCCATTTTATCAGTTGCTGGAAACTATGAAATTTCCCATATTTAGTCCAAAATGAAGGATGTTACTTTTGAGCGGGGAGGGAATTGCTTCAAGCCAATTCATTTCAATCAGTTTTTAATTAGTCTAGCACGATAAGTATTTCTGCCTGTATGTATGTAAAAATTTTATAATTTGAAACAACTGGAACTAGCTTGGCTTGTGGCCTGATCTTGCAATTGCTTATATACCAAATCTGTCTCACTACTTCTTTGGGACTGTTCACATGTGTTAGAATTAATGAGATTGAGTTCTTGTTCTGTCATTCTCAAAGAAATCTCCTAAGGTACAAGCCAAGTTTGTAGCCAACTGGCTTACTGTGTTTAAATATTTAAAATTAAAAATATTTTAAATTATCATCTGTAGTTTTAGATGGGTTAGCCTTAAACTGGCACAATTTCCCTATTATTATTTATTATTTCTGTTCCAGCAGTAACTGGCAACATTTGCAAAGTTGTTTTTTGTCCTAGGTGCACAAAAATCAGTCCAAATGATGGACTGCTCCCCAAAGAATGAACACTTCTTGTTATTTCACCAGTTTGTATTTGCTGAGGTTCATAGAGTCACAGAAGTTGGGAACAGACCTGTGGAGGTCTCTAGTCCAACACCCTGGTGAAGCATGGCCAGTTTAGGTCAGATTGCTCAGGGCTTTGTCCAGTCAAGTTTTGAATCTTCGAGGATGGAGATTGCATGACCTCTGGGCACCTGTTCCGCTGCTTCATCACCCTCATGGTGAAAAAGCTTGTCCTAAGACTGGAATTTCCCATGTTCCAGCTTGTGCCTGTTGTCTCGAGCCTTGTCCCTGTGCACCTTCAAGAAGATTCTGGCTCCATCTTCTCTATACCCACCCATTAAATTGCTGTAGACAGCAATTAGATCTCCCCTTAGCCTTGTGTTCTTAAGGCTGAACAAGCCCGCTTCTCCCAACCTCTTCTCATATATCCTGGTCTCTGGCCCTGTCTGTCTTGATGGCCTTCCCACTGTAGTGTGCTGTAGTACATCAGTGTCTCATGTGTGCCAGAGATCCCAAAACTAGATATCATGCTGCAGATTTGGTCTTGCAAATGCCAAGCAGAGGATCCAAAACATCTCCATGAAAGTGGCTGTGTAAGCCATAGGCTACCCCAAATGCACCACATCTTAGGGACACCTGGCAAAGGTTCATATCGTAGTTTCATTGTCACTTTTAGCAATGTAAACTAGTACTACTGTTGAAAGAAGTTAATTGGGTTGGATCAGCTTTTGAGGGTGGTGTTAATTTTAACACTGATGTGCCTTGCAATCCAGTTTGTTTCCTGGCCACACAAATGGCTGTGCTGGCACAAGAGAATGGGCCATGTGGACAGGAGTGGAAGGGAAAAAGCAGAACCATTTTTTTCTGTGGCAGTGCTGGTTTGTGTCAACTTGCTGTGACTAGACTCCACAGTCTAAAGAGACATAGAGAGTTAACTAAGATTAGTGAGGATTATGGCCAAGAACCTTCATATCAGTTAAATTAAAAGCTTGGGTTAAATTTCTCTTCCACTTTTGTAAACAAAATTAAGAAAATTCTGTGTAGATTAATTATATAATGTCCATCATATGTTTATTCTGACAGCAGTTTTGTGGAATGCCGTCTTGCTTTAATAGGTCCATTTAACTGAGGAATTTTATGAGACTAGCTGCAGAAAAATAAAATTCCTAATTTGCTGCTTTTTGTACAGTACTATGGCAAATGTCCACATTGGGCTTTTAGTATTGTTATTTAATTTTTTCTTTACATAACCATTAGTTATTTCCTTCAATTGTACCATGGTTTGTTTTTTAAATAAGATTCTACTGAAGGGAGGAACTTAAAAACTCACCACAGTATTTAACATCAGTTGACATTTACTGCAATCTCTAATTATTGGCACAGAATCTGTCTGGCTTCTGCTGCTTTTATGGTTCTTCCAGCTCATTCCAGTATTTTTTAGTTTTACCATCCTGCTGTAGATGAGTTAGATGATAGTGGTTTCAAGCAGTTGTAGATCTACTTTTATACAGACTCTATCTGTTCAAAATAATTTTATTTATTTGGTATAAGCAGTATAAAGATGAAAAGAAAGATCTCTGCAAAGCCTTTCACATATCAGTCCCAGAACAATTCTTTCACTACCCTAGCAAACAATCCTGTTGACTTGGGACACAGCAAGCAAAAAGAGGGATACAATGCTAATGCTAAGCATACAGCATGTGCGTTTCATTAGGAAGAATATTATATTTTAATATTTCATTTACCTTGCCCACAAGCTTACAGAAGTGTAAATACCAGGTAAATAAACCCAAATTAGATTTACTGTTTCTCTACCAAAACCAAATCCACTTTCATCCTGGAGACTTTGCAACATAAGTAGAATGTTTGGAATTATTGCCCCTCATAAAGTACATTGGAAATTCCATTAGCCAGTTTCTCTCAAGGATTTGTGTTAATCCATTTTTATTCTTGTAACATGATGTGCTAGGTGTTCTGAATACAGGAATGCATAGTTCCTGCTCCAGAGATCTTAAAATTCGTGAAGAAACACAGACTCTTTAGACACTTGAATATTAGAATAGAGTGTATATATATTGTAATGCTGTTTATTTTCTGTCCTTAGTTACTCCAAAGCCATTATGGGCATCCTGACTCCTTGCAAACTTTGCAAGAAGATACATTCAGAAGGTTTTGTGAGATACTTTTTGAAACAAATTTTCCTACTTGAAAATACTTTTAAAACCTTTTAAAAACTGAAATAGGTTTAATTTGCTTTAATAGTTTGTACTGCAAGAGAAGTTTGAGCAGCATGGTGACATGCCAAAGAGAAAATTGGGTAGGTTTTGTTGCCTTCTTGTAATTTAAAGCTTACTATATTCCTGTCTGGGATCAGTGTGGTTAAAAAAATGTAGTTTTAAATTACGTGTACGTGTTAACCACACCTTGCCCCTGCAGCGCACAAGTTTACCCACCAAGGCCTGCCTCACCAGATTCTGCCTTGTAGTGATCAGATCAACAGTGCTTGAAATCACTTGTGCGTTTGTCTAAGTAGGCAGTGCAGAACTTGGTCCTCTAAGTTTAAAAATTAAAACCAGTAAGTGCTCTGCTAATGATCCTGTGAACCCTAGGGTGTGTGCTGGCATAATCTGACCCTTCAGAGCCAAAGGGTGGCTCCTCTCGCCTGGGTCCGGCTGGAACGGAGGAAATGACAGTGGGGAGCAGCGGGCACTGACTCACGGCTGGGGGCGGTTTACTTTGGGATGGCTGTAGTAGTTCCTGTCCCCAGCTGTCTGCCCTCCCTCTCTTTACTACAGGCATGGCCTGGGCTTCCTGAAGCAGTTGTTTAATCACTATAGTTTACAGTCTTGTATCAAGAAGTATGCGCACTGAGTTCAAGTTTCAGTAATGCAGAGGAAGGTAGTTTGAAATATTTCAGCAGCTGTTTCCCAAGAAGCCAAGCTGCCCATGCAGGAGAGGTCAGGAAGTGTAGCTGGTGAATAGGTTCCAACGAAAGTTTTCCACTGAAAATAAGAACTTAGAGTGTGGAAACTGTGCTCAGTTACTAGGCGGTTATCTGAAAATACTTCAGACTACATTTTTCAGGATCCAGCAGTAACCTAGTAGTGCAAGATAAAGTAGGACTTCCCTCTTCTCAGGCAAGCAGGACAAGATTTAATAGAGACAGCGAAATATAATACATCTGTTTATTTACAATTGAAGACATGCTGTATTATGCAGGAGTACTGCCTGCTAGGCTGTTTCAGATAAAATACACTGTATTTTCTCTTCCTTTCTTCCTGTTTCATTCTTGTTCTCTTCCCTGCCGAAAGAAAAAGAAGAGGTACCTGACATTTGACAATGCTATGCCATCAAGAAAATGTATGAAGTGGCAAAAAGAATGCTTGATTCTGGAGTCTTCATTGCAGATTTTTGGGAAATTTTGCTCTTAGTTGGGTGGAACTAGAAGAGATTAATTTTAAGAGAAACTGGGAGAAGTTGACTTAAGGTCACCATCTGTTAGAAGAAGTTTATCTGTGTTTGTACAGAGCCAACACAGAAGAGTCTCAGTCTTGACAGAGGCCTATGGACATGGCCATAACACAAATACATAATAATCTTATAATAGGCCTTTACCCAAAGAGGGCTTAGATAACTTTAAGGTATTCTTATCTAAAAATATGTATTAAAGCAAACAAAGTGGTCAAAGTTAGGCAATTTTTTTTTCCTTGAAGAGATTTTCCCTTGTGATTTTGCTCTAGCTGAACACGAGAATTTTAAAAATAATTTTAAAAGTTTCTCACTTAGTGATAAATATCCCCCAACAATAGTGACCAAGTTGCCATGTAGCATTTTTTGCATTAGACCACAAAATGCTTTTGCCAAGGCTGTGTCATTGTGTCCATTTCACAGATGAAGAAACTGAGGCATGTGGGAGAAATGTGATTTTACTAAGGGCTGCATGCCTGGTAAGTCGCTGAAACTGGAACAGAACCCATACTCCTGCATCTCTGCCTAGGCTGCTCTCCATTAGTCTGCTGTGCCTGAAGTACATGCTGATTTCAAATGAGGAGCAAGACATAGCTGAATATCAGCGTAGGAAGTGGTTTCATGATCATCCTATAATAAACATTTTTAAAAGATATTAAATACTGTTTTCAAATGCAACTGTTGTCCAAAAATGAATGCTGTCAGATTATGATTTTCTTTTGCGTGGGTTATTTTCCAGGCAGAAATTTTAACGGGTATCCCAGTTGGCAACCTTGAAGATGCTGAAAAGGTGGGACGCATGCTGTTAGAAAGAGGGTGTAAGCTCGTAATTGTTACTCTTGGAGCAGAAGGCTGCATGATGATATCAGTAGAAGAACCCATTCCAAAGCACGTTCCTGCTGGGAAGGTCAGGGCTGTGGACACTACGGTACGTTTTTGTGGTTTAACTGTCTTGCTTTGGAAAAGACTGCTTAAGCACTAAGGGAAAGCAATGAGTAATCAGCCAAATCTTTGGGCACTAGCACAAAGGCTAATTTATGATGTGAAATTGATATCTTGCTTCCAGCCTCTCATATATTAAATGTCAGTTCACTTGAGTTTTATAGTCTGTATTGTAGATGAGCTAGAATTATTATACATACTGATAGTATCTTCATGTTCCTCCTTTACTGAAGTCAGTACCTGTCTCTGACGGTAATGTGTATGCCAGTGGCTTGAGCTGCAGTCCTGTTTTTTCACCTTTGCCTAGTCACATAATTCATCTTGTCCAGAACTCAAATGCTGTGGGAGAAAGGAGATACTACTGCCCTCACAGTCTGAAACTGAATGTTTGGCTCTTCTGACACATAGTCTTACCAGGTCTAGCATAACATGATCAAAGACCTAATTTTTACAGAATATATTGGAGAAAACCCAAAAAGTTCTTGCTGTTTTAGGATGACTATTTTATGATGATAGGTAAGGGATACTTGGTCAAAGGCATTTTAGTCTTTGACATGAGGGTACTTTTTTACTTCCTGCCCAGAAATAAATGCAAAAAGCATAGTCTCACAGACCACTAAACACAATACCCCCAGCAAAAGATTAAAACAGGACAGGCAATAGTTAAGATAGTATTGCTATGAAAACCTTACCACATTGCACATATGGGGCTATTTTGTGTTCCTGGTATTATCTGACATAAATCCAAAATAATTCCAGTGGAATTACTGAGAGCAGAGAAGGTCACGTTGTATGTACTAACTATACATTTAAATGCCTGTTATAATAACGTCATATTACATATGTTCTGTTACAATAGTTCATTAAAATCCTGGAGATTTTACCATCTGGTGCATTCCATATCTGAATTGCATTAATAATAACTAGTTCTTGTAGCATGTTTTTTATCCCTGGACCTCATACTGCTTCACAAAGAAGGAAAGCAACTGCTTAAAAGATGAGGGAAGCAGAGGCATAGGGGACTGAAGTTACCGAGCTCAGTAGCATGCAGTGGCAGAGCTAGGAGTAAAGTCACTCCGTGTAAAACGGAGTGCCCCTTTGTCATTTAGAAGTTTGACCTCAAGTTAGTGCTGATTTTGGAATGTCCTAAAGTTCTGGTTAAGAGAGGCGTCACTGTGCTGTACTGTACATAAGACTCTTGGTAGGGGACTACAGACACCAAACCACCTCTGCCTGCTTTTAGACCAGAATTGGAAGTGCCAAGGGAATGAAAGGCTGAGCTCCCAAAGATATCCAGAAGCAGGTTTTATTAGCTTGGGAGCAACACCTTGTGAACCTAGCAGTACGGCTTCTTGCTCCGAGTTGGTAAATCCACTATTGCTATCAAAGCTTGGTGTTAGAGTTTTTCTCTACATCACACAGAAGTGATGAAGAAGAAGCATGTGTGATCTGCTTCTTCAAAAGAAGCAGAAAATAGCTGCCAGATCAGCTATTGTTTCATATCTTAAGATATTTGCTGCTCTTGGAATAAAACAGCAATTCTGAAACCACACACTGTGGCTGAAAAGTGCTTTTTATCTTGCCTAGCAGTTCAGAGTTTCATGACTGAACTAATTTAACGGTCCTCTCTTTTTTTTTTTTTTTTTTTTTTTTTTTTTTTTAATAAAAGCATTTTTTTTTTTTTTTTTTTTTTATTTATTAAATAAAAGCACTTTCTTTGAGTTTACTGAATCCTTGCCCTGCCTCCTTGTGGCCAACAGGTTATTGGCTTTCACATAGCAGAGGATTTTCACAGTTAATTTTGTTAATCTACTTAAATACCAGTGGGTTGTTTTCAGTAAAACAGCTGTGCTCAGTTTACTCTTGCAGACTGAATGAAAAAAGATGTGTTGGCCTTCCATTGTCAAAGTCTTACAGTACTTAGACTGATTATCACTTTGCCTGAAAGCAAGTGGTTTTAAAGCAACCCTTCCAAACACTAAGCAAAATAATGTCATCCTCAGCTACCTGGATAGCTCTATTTTACTAAAATAAATACTAAACGTTCTAGTAGGACATGTTATTCTCTTCAGAGGCATGTCTGCAGTGGATCCTTCCCCAGGGGAATAAGCTCAAGCTGTAAGGTGGCTTAGCAAGTAGCCACCTATCCACAGAGTATTCAGAGCTGTTCATGTGCATGCTCTTAGCATGCCATTTAGTACTAAATAAAAGTTGCTACCTTAAACTGCCCTGACTTCAGCATCTTGAGGGACCAGTCACATCTGGTTATGTGCCTTTATCCGTATTGTCATTGTTTGGATCTGCAGAAGGTAAAGTTACTGCCAAAGAGTTGAATGATGTGTATAACCCATTGTAGGATTTGCAAAAGGTTACAGAGCCCTTACAAAAACAGTCTGTATTAAAACAGAGTACATATAAGATATAAAATGAGCTTCAAAGGCCTCTTTCACTGTAGAAATTTTCCAATAGCTGCTACCACTGCCCAGAGTCCTCCCTGCAGCACTGCAGCTTCAATACTGCCTCCTGGTCATTTCAGTTGTCCACAGCAATTTTGAAACTTTTTGATGAGAAAATACTTGGGTAGGTACTGCCACAAAGATTAAGAATTTGAGTTCCTTGTCCCAGGTAGTGTGCTCCCAATTTTCCATGTTCATAGGTTCAGAAGAGAGACTAAGGGTTAATAGACCGTAGAGCCTGGCTTTTCCTCCCAGCCCTTGAGATGGTTAATCTGAGTTTATTGGCAGAACACTGGGAAAAGCTGGCTCCATCTCCCGCTCTGTGGTGGAACATGAATCTTCAAGATTGAAAATCTGGCATTTTTCACCCACACTAAATCAATACTATAAAGGGGGAAAAAAGGCTTGTTGATTTATTTTTTTTAGCGCTAATTATCTTAATGTGGGCTTTACTAATGTATGCAATGCTTCCCATGACTGTTAGCAGAGCACTCCATACACAGCCCAAAACATGTAGAGCACGAATAGTCGTTTAGAAGGAAGTTTTGCAAGACATGGTATTGTAAAGCTGAAACATCTGTTTCTCCTGTTATAGCTAAATAGTGCAACAAGCTTTTGTTAAGAAAATAAACTTTCCCTTCATTTTACTAGTTTTTGCTAGCTATTTTCTATATGCAAATTTTGAATAAAAATAAAAATAAGTGAAAAATCATCCTCAAATTTTCTGTATGAAAGAAAGAAATATCTGATTAAGCCCACTAGCCACATCAATTGTATTTGAAGCAGATGATGTACGTAAGAGACATTTGACACATTAAAAAGTACTAATATGTAGATAATGTAATAACTGTATACATTATAATATATTTTCATTACTTTAAATAGTTGCTTTTAAATCTACTTGACTACATGAAGTTAAATATATGCATTTATTTTTGGAAGAAGCTATTTCCACTTTAGGTGAAACTAGTACATGAAGCTGCATTAAAATAGCTGTGAAGGATAATTATATAATTCCATTTATATGACACTTCTTCAGTTGGTAGCAGAAGGTTTCACAAACCATTCACAAATTTGATAAGCGTTTCATAGAAAACAATAATATCATATACACCCATTTTGCAGCTCTGTGTGTGTGTGTGTGGTTGTGAAGCAGTTTGCCTGCTGCTGAAGCAGAAGCACAGCTGAGGTGGAACACAGCAGCTGCTTGGGAACGCAGCTGTGGGACATGACCGAACACCATCAGGTCAAAATTGTACTTGAGGTGAAGTGGATGATCTGTGTGATGAACCACACAATGATCCCGGATCATGGCATCTGCTGCTGCAGTAGCCCCAAACATGCTGTCCTGGCAGAGACATGCGCAGTCTGATGACAGAGAAGGCCACAACGTCGTCCATGTTGGAGAACCAAGCTCTGCTCTTTTTGCCCCTTCACTCTTGCGCTCCCCCTCTGCTTCTGACAATCACGCAAAGTGTAATTTACAGCAGTATTTACATCTATTTACATTTACTAATTATATTCCGTTGAAACTGCCAAGGAAAATTTGTCAGAAGAATGTAATTACGCAAAGCTGGAATTTGGCCAGCAGTGAGATAGTTCCCTTCCATTTTGAAAAAAAAGCACTATGGGATCTTACAGAGCTGAGCGCTTCAAGTGGCAGCTGGGGACCAAGTCGAGCCCCTGAGGTACTGCCGGAGGCCTGCTTAGGGCTTGGTCTGTGCAGGTGGGCTTTGGAGAGGCAGTCATGCCGTCTGGAGCCCCAGGTTACTTGGAGTCTGGGCTTTGGAGGGTTGTCCATGCCAGGCCCTCTCTGGAGGTGGGACAGTCTGGTGGTCGGTGGCTACGGCAGGCTGGAACGTGTCTGCTGGCTCTGGGGCTGCACCCCACAGCTCAGGGCTGTTCCTTTTACTGTGGTTGCTCCTTGCAGTTGAAGGATCCATGCTTTGAGTCGGAGAGTTGGCAAAGGAAGGATGCAGGGGGGCATTAGTGGAAAACGGGGTGCGCTCTGACTAAGCAAGCCAGAGCAGCCCCACTGCCACCCCCCTCATTTCCAGGTTGCAGCATCGGGGTCACTCTGGGGAGGCAAGTACTCTAGGGTTAGTTTTTTGTAACCTCTGGTTTGCTCCAGAGCCCGGTTTGAATCAAGATGCTGAATAGCATCCATACATGCTTGCATCAGTTAGGGTGACTTTCTAATTTCCATCCCATCTGATTTTTTAAATAGATAGTACAATTGCTCTGCTTAAGATCTTTTCATCAGCTTCTACTTGACCTCTAGGTTTGCACATGCCAATGTTGTGTGCACAAAAGTCCTGCATTAGTGCACTCACAATCAGGAGATCAGGCATCCGCCTGATGTATTCTCTAAAGGCAGAGACACTTGGGCATCCCATATTTAAAAGAAAATTTCACTCGCTTTTCACAATGGTGCCCCTAGTAAATCACAGCAAGTCCATAGTCTCCCTTTTAAAATCTCATGGAGAACCCAGAATGTTTAACTTCACAGTATTTCTAAGCACAACCATTAAATTTCCCATATTATTTCTTACATTACCAGCATTTTCCCTGTCTGGCTGTGCTTTTCAGATGCAGAGAGTGCACAACCTGCTGAGGGAAGCTAAGGAGATCACAGGTTGAGGTGCCATGCTGATAAACAGGAAACTCATTTATGAGACATGATAAAATTCAAAATTTAATCTACTCAGTTATGCCTGAAATTTGACATGAGTGTATGACTTATTCTATGTAGTTCTTCTCTGTACAACATTCTCAGAGACAAATGATACATACTATTTGTCACAATCATAAATGCTACCATTGTTTTTTCACGTCAGTTCTGCAAAATGAAGGCTCATTGGTACAATATGAATTTGTCATCAGATGTTTTGTGTTCAAATCCTATTAAGTTTCTCTCTGATTTCTTATTACAATATATTAGAACTGGCTATTTTACTATAGGAGAGAATTAAAAGGGCTGTCTTTAAGCAGTGGAGTGCTCACTGAGCAGCTTTGTATTGAACTCTGAAGATGTTACACAATCTTTATTTTAATAAATCCTCATGTAAGTGTATAGCTATATAATTTTAGATATGTCATAGTATTCAGGCCTGTGCAGTAATTGTGGTCTAAAGAAGGCAGTGTGGTTTAGTGATTTGAACAAAGGACTGAGTAAGAGTTCCAGGGCTCTGAAAAAGACTTGCTGTAAATCCTTGGGAGAGTTACTTGTCTTCTTTGTATCCCAATTTATCTATCCATAAATTGGAGCTGCTGTTAATGTATTGCATATAAACCATGAGAAGTCTGTTAGAGATCAGAACAGAACCTGGGAGGCCTTTTTCCCAGGCTTGTCATATAACCTCAGGCCAGTTGTGCTTCTTTGGGGGCTTTGCAAACTCATTGAAGTTCTTCTGCTTGAAGTTGAGAGGTCTTGTCTGTAAAAATATGGTTTACACTAAAATTCTCTGACTTAGCTGTATCTTCTGGTTTGGAGGAAGCCTGAGCCAGAGGAGTGAAGTGGACACTGAAATAAAGCCTTAGAATATAAATAAATCCAAAACAGTCCTCCTAATAACAGCAATTCTTTGTCTCCTGACTTTGTGGCCTAACGTCTGAGGCTCAAGGGGATATAAATACAACACTCTGTGCAATGACTAATTACTCAAAATTCTGTGCATCAGCAGAAGTGGGACTTGTGGTTGAGTCTAATATTATCAAATGCCTTTGCTATTTAATAA